TGTTACTCTGTCCTAGTCTTCCTGTTACTCTATCATAGTCCTCCTGTTACTCTGTCATGTTCCTCTTGTTACTTTATCATGTTCCTCCTGTTACTCTATCATAGTCCTCCTGTTACTCTTTCAGAGTCCTTCTGTTAATCTGTCATGTTCCTCCTGTTACTCTGTCCTAGTCTTCCTGTTACTCTGTCATAGTCCTCCTGTTACTCTGTCCTAGTCTTCCTGTTACTCTGTCATAGTCCTCCTGTTACTCTATCATAGCCCTTTCTACTCTATCATAGTCTTCTTACCCTGTAATAGTCCTCCTCATATCCTATCATAGCCCACCACTTATTCAATCATATTCCATCACTATCTGCATTTAACCCTCACTTTGACATATCATAACTCCATTGTTCCATTAACATAGTCCTCCTCCATCTCTACCACTGTCTTTCCCTCAAACTGCCACATCTCCCTCTTACTCTATCATACCCCCTTGCTCTACCATTGCTTTCCCTTATTCTACTTATTCTAGTATAGCACTTGGTCATCTCTCTTACGTTGAGACACACAAAACTGAGCTATGCAGTCCGTTGTTTGTCAGTGTGTTCATTGTCAATTTTACCAATTAGAATAAAAATTCTAAGATGTCAAGGTGCTAGTCCTTCAATTCACAGCAACTTTATTTGTATTATATAGACCTGTAAATGGTCCACTATAATTAGTTCAGGAGGCAAACAGGCAAATGTCACTTGACTCTTCTTTGTCCTTTCTTCTTTTCCTTAGTCCTACCTGATCAACTCTGACTTACTCTGTGCTCTCTGTTTGGTTGCATGGTATCCTATCAAGCTCTAGGAACTTTCCTTCCACACTCAGATCCTGCTTTCCTGTTCTTGGGAACATCTGTCTGATAATATTAGCTGTTCAGTGGCTCAGCCTTCCCTCACATAATTCATCTTTCCTTAGCAGCTATAGCCAGAAGGACTGAATCAAACCCTAATGCAAGTATCCCAATGAGGAAATCTCATAAAGTAAAAGAATACATGATTAAAAGATATGAGAAACTTTAAAATAGCTCTCACGTCAGGAAATGATGAGCACAACTTAAATTTTACTTCAAACCAAAGCAAGCTAGAAAGGTCCTAGAGAATTAAAACAATGACCTTGGGAGATATTTTATAGGAGATTTGATTTTTCTTTTATATTGTATTTATTTATTTTCTTTTAAACAATAAATATAATTACATCACTTTTCCCTTCTTTTTCCTTCCTCATACCCCTGTCATGAATGTCCCTTTGCTCCCTTAAAATCATAATGTCTTTTATCTATCCCTATTACACAAACAGACAAACACAGACACGGACACATAGACAGACACACACATGCACACCTACACATTCACACCATCAAGTGCTCACATGCACACACCTGTGTAAAAATATAAATACAGTCTATTAAGTCTTTTGAGTGTTACTCCTAGTATATAGTTTCAGGACTGGTCATTTGATCTTGGTAACCAGTTAGGGGTTCAATCCTTTGTAGGACTGTTTCCACTCTCAGACTGTTTCAACTCTTTAGTTGACTGTAGTGGTTTCTCTATGGATAGGGTTTCATGAGATTTTCCATTTCCATGTTAACAAGTCTATTGGTGTTGTACTTCTTCAGGTGAAGTGCATTATCACTGTCGCAGCTCACAGCAACACACGCTCCCTTTAAAAGGTCCCTCTAGACATCATGGCTCTCTCTTATTTCCTCTTTCATGATCTTTCTCACCCATTTTCCCTTTCTGTCTGTCTGTCTGTCTCTTTGTCTATCTTTCTCTCTCCTGTCTCCACTCCTAGATGTCCTTTAGCTCTCTTTCCTTGCCCCCGTTCAAAAAAAAAAAAAACTGCTTGCTTTAGATCTGTTGTCATCTCTCAACAGCACACATTGGTCTGGCAAACGAAGGTGACTTCTTGTGTTTTATCCTAAGTGTCACAAAAAAACAAAACGAAAAAACACAAGTGTACCCAATGCATAGATCGGAGGATCATGGGATGCACAGTTCCAACAGCTACATGTACATTACAGCCCCTATGACTAAACATGATCAAAGAGGAGGAATAGGCACTGCAAGAAGCAGAATACCAGGATATCTGCTGTGAAACAGTCTCTCCTAGAAATTACTGTATAAACAAGACCAGAACAAAGGCGGTGGCAGTGGACATGTTAACATAGAAGGTGAAAATTTGCATGACCCAACCCACGACAAAGAATTACAAGCAACTAATGATGACTGGAGAGGAGATATAGTCACTTCAATGGATGAGACCCTTATTGGTTGTCAAATCAGAGTGGTTGTCTCTCAAGCCATGCATACACAAGCAACTAAAGTGAAATAAGCAAGTTTTATTTATATATGGTTGTGCACACATACACATGTTTTTAACAATAATAATAAGAAAAGAATGCTACCAAATTGGGAGTTGAGAACAAAAGGGGATTGAGAGAAGGTAACTTGAGGAGCTCGAGGGAGGAAAAACAGGGTTAAGTGATGTAATTTTATTTCAATCAAGGATATATTTTTAAAAATGAGTTAAGTTTAAGGTAAAAAATCTCAATAAACTGAATAAAAATTCAGTGAATTTATTCATAGGTAACATTTTAAAAGTTTAATTATTTTAATTTTTTTAATACAAAAGTAGACTGTCAACAAAAATTCAAAATCTTATCAAGACATTAAAAATGTAGACATATTTTTTTTAACAGACAAGACTAATGGAAAGTCTCACAAACACATTTCTATACTTTTGGAAGTTATTTACAATACACTTCCTCTTAACTTAGGTAATATTATATCCTTCTGGGGTTTTTGGTGGTGTTGAAGAATAGTTATAATTACAGTTTTCCTTAGGTATGATAAAAGATAAAGTAGATATAAATATTGTAATTGTAATTTTGTGTTGATAACAGTTTTGTTATATGTAATTTTACCATGTTAAAGTTAAAATCTTCCTTTTTATTTGAACAAAAAAGCCAGAAATGGTGTGGAAGTCCTCTGTATATGTGTTGCTTTTATTGGTTAATGAATAAAGAAGTTGCTTTTGACCAAGAGCTTAACAGAACATAGACAGGCTGGAAAAGATATATAGAGAATAAGCAGAGTCATGTAGAAGCCATGTAGCCCCACCAGAGACAGATGCTTCATAGAACTTTACCCAGTAAGCCACAGACACATGGTGATACACAGATTAATGAAGACGGGTTAGTTTAAGATATAAGAGTTAGCCAGAAATACAAATATGCTATTGACCAAAGAGTATTGTAATTAGTACAGATTTCTGTGTGATTATTTTGGATCTAAGTGGCCAGGAATGAATAGGCATCCTCCCCCAACAAACACCCACTCACACGGATGTGTTCACACATAAATGCACACAAAAACAAGCACACACATAATAGATACAAAAATAAATGTATGAATAAGTAGACAAATACATAAATAAAGTGTAGCTAGGCTGTGAGCTCAAGTTTTATATGGCAGTTCATATTTAAAAGATGATGTGGGATTTTCCTCTATATGCTGTGAATATGATTTATTATGATTGGTTAATAAAGAAACTTTTTTGGCCTATGGCAGGGCAGAATAGAGGTAGATGGGAAAACTAAACTGAATGCAGGGTGAAAAAAGGCAGAGTCATACAGATCCCATGTAAACACCCAAGAAGCAAGATGTGAATTAACAAACCTCGAGCCTTGTAGTAAAATATAAAATAATAAAATTAGGTTAATTTAAGATATTAGTTAATAAGAAGCTTGAGCTAATAGGCCAAAGAGAATATAATTGATATTAAGTCTCAGACTGGTTATTTTGTATGCAGCTTCTAGAACAGGCAAGGTGAGAAAATTTGGTCCAGGCACACCAGCAGGTCAGAGAATATTTGTAGCTACATCTGGCATCCAACGTTCGGCAATGTGCATCCTCATAAAACCTAAGAAAGCTGAAAAAGAGGGATTTTAGAACCACAAAACAGGAGTCAATTGGAGCTTCTTGGTGGCCACAGTTTTTCAGATAGGCTCTGTTTGTGACCTGAAAGCAGAGGTGTGGCCTCAGTAAAGATGACTTTCTGGTTCGTATTGGTTGTAGGAACTGCTCTGGCTCTTTCAGGAGGCTCAGCTACAGAGAACTGAAATGGGGTTTGTGGGTAGAGTGCACAAGCTGCTTAATCGTTACATAGACCTGCTGGGGTGGTGAACATGGCTCACACAGCTGTTGGTGAACATACCTCTGTCATACTGGATGGTGTGGAGCCAAAAGACAAAGCCACTTAGCATTTTAAATACTCTTCTTGTCAGAAAATGATTTCAAAAATATAATACAGATTCAGACAAAAAGGCCTCTAAATGGATCACAATGTGTTTGATAAATATTCATAGGCTTGAAAAAGAGAGGATAAGAGATAGTGGCTCTTATAGATAAATGAAAGTATTTTATTTTTAACAGATTTTTTTAATTATAGAAAGTTTTTATAAAACTGATGAAGAAACAATATAGGGACATATAGGCTTATACAGAGAAGAGATAAAGAACATAAACTTTTATTTAATTGTGAGAGGTTCTTCAGAAATATTACAGTACAGTGACTAGTGAAATAACTTTCATTTGCTGAAAATAAGTCGCTATTTGTTGAAAATGTTTGAATAAGGACACATATACATAAACTTGAGCAAAGTCTCAAACTTCTCATCTGACTATTTTGTTTTAATAGTTCACATAAGAAGAGTCTGCACTTAAATTAGTTTTTGACTCTAAGGTGGATCCACCAGATGGCAGCATCTTCTTAGAGACCCAGATGCAATTTCTCACATGGTCCTTTGTGTCTGTGTGTTGGGGGGTGGTGAGAGGGAAGAGAAGGGCATCTGATATAGCAGTGAAAACTATGACCTTCTTTCTTATTGGATGAACAGCATGGGGTTTTACTTTTTTTATGCATCTTACAGCAGAAGAATTCGAACTTCCTAAGTGCCAGTTGGTGTTATGGTTGAAGTGTGAACCTTCAGTGAAAACAAGGATGCATCCCTTAAGTGTTTTGCTAGTGGTACTCTGGCTTCAACTGAGGGGTGAGTTTGACCATTCCTATAGGCACATAAAAATACAATGTGTGAGGCTATAACCTTCACATGTTTTAGGATGGAGGGTAGAAATGTTCTCATGCTGAAAAAAAAGTAGGTGGGAGGCCCATGGAAAAGCCATTCTGAGGTGTCTGTATATCCATATGCATCCAGTCCTGTTTATCTGACCTTTGTCTTTCTGCACAGATGTGAGGAGCCAGCAGAAGTTGCAGCAGAACCCAGAATTCCTCAGTGTCTCAGAGGGAGCCACGGCCTCTGTCAACTGCACTTTCAGTGATAGTGCTTCTCAGTCCTTCTGGTGGTACAGACAGAATCCTGAGAAAGAACCCAAGGCTCTGATGTCCATCTTCTCCGATGGTGAAAAGAAAAAAGGCAGATTCACAGTTCAGCTCAATAAATCCAGCCTGCTTGTTTCCCTGAACATCAGAGACTCCCAACCCAGTGACTCTGCTGTTTACCTCTGTGCAGTGAGCACACAGTGCTCCCCAGTACACCTGCAGCCTGCACCCAAACCTACAGGGCCCCCAACAAAGGCTGAGCTAGAGTACAGAGAACAAGGGGAGAAATTCTGATTATTCTCCTTCTATTCCATATCAAATGGAAGGTAACAGCCACAGGAGGGTTGGTTTAACTTACATGGAAAATACTTTGTTATTCTGGGAATGAATGTAACACATATTCATGTAACACAAATATTTTCCACTTTATTTTACTATATATATATATATATATATATATATATATATATACACACACATACACACACATTATATTTTAATTAAGATTTAACATCCAGGATTTCTTTTCAGATTCTCCGCACCTCCACAAAACAACATCACACCTACTTTCTCTTTTATTGCTCTCTTTAGCACACAAATGGGCAAAATTAAACAAACAAAAAACAAAAGAAAGAAAAGACACAAGAAACACACATACAGAGGTGTATTGTTGTTAGGGTTCAAGGAGGAAGGAACAGTACATTGGCGTATTGGATGCAGGGAATGCCACAACATCATATCATGAAATAGGACTCACAAAAGAGAGATTGACTGTGGGGGAGAGGACTAAACAGAGGCTGCCTCTGACCAAGGTTGAAAGGGGAAAGGAGGACAGGCTGTGAAGGCCATGGCTCTTTATAAAGTGTATAGTGTCTGTGCATAGGGGGAATATGTGACCACAGTGGAAATCTGTTATTGACGGTGGACTTGGGGAGGGTGGAGTTTTCCAACACACATTAAAACAAAATCTGTAACAACAGAAATCTGGAAATGATAATACACAAGAAGTCCAGTAATACTTTTAAAAAGTTAAAACAAAAAAATGAAATAAATTTCTACAAAAGTACCAGTGAGTTACTTGTGTTGGTCATCTATTGCTAGAAATAGGACATATCTTTGACTGTGGTTTGTATATTCAGTGAGACTCTATTGGAGAAAACTAATTTTTCCTTCACAAACACATGTCCATTGGAAATATCTTCTTAGTTAGGGATGGGAACCTGTGTCCACATCCTCCTCTCAACTTTGGAACCATGTTGACCAAGGTTTCTGTCCCACCTTGTTTTGTAGTTACTCAGTCCCAAAGAAACACACAAAGGCCTACATTAATTATAAACTGATTGCCCTATTAGCTCAGGTTTCTTATTAACTCTTATAACTTATATTAGCCCATAATTCTTGTCTGTGTTAGCCACGAGGCTTGGTACCTTTTTCAGCAAGGCAGTCACATCTTGCTTCCTCCGTGTCTGGCTTCTTCCAGGTGTGAGTGACGACTTCAGACTGAAACTTCCCTCTTCCCAGAATTCCCATTATCTTACCTCTACTTCCTGCATGGTCACCCCTCCTATACTTCCTGCCTGGCTACTGGCCAATCAGTGTTTATTTAAAGTACAAGTGACAGGGTACAGACCATTGTCTCACAGCAGAACCACATCTTGCTTGAACCTGTGCAGACTCTGCTCATGCTTTCACAATCTCCAGGAGTTCTTACATAAATAAGGTCTGCTGTCATCCACCACTTATGACTCTTACACTCTTTTCACCTCTTCTTTCATTAGGTACCCTGTGTACTGATGGGCAGGATTTGATGAAGACTTCATATTTATGATTAAGCATTCTAAAATCTCCCCTCTGCACATTGTCTAGCTGTGAGTTTCTATGTTAGTTCCCATGCACAGCAAGAGGAAGTTTCTGTGGTAAGTGAGATATGGATACTTGGGAATCGCAGAATGTCATTAAGAGTCATTTCATTGCTATGTCCCTTTATCAAATTGGTTCTCAACCTGTGAGTCATATCTCCTTTGTGGGCCAAATTACCCTTTTACAAGGGTTTCCTAACACCATCAGAAAACACACATATTTACATTGTCATTCACAGCAAAAGAAAAATCACAGTTATGAAGTAGCAGTGAAAATAAAATTTTCTTGAGGGTCAACACAAAATGAGGAACTGTATTAAAGGGCTGCAGCATTAAGAAACTTGAGAAACACTGCTTTACCAGAATAACAGTATTTGATTTTCCCCATGGCCTATCTGACCTAAGGTTCACTGAAGGAGCAGTGTCAGGCATGGGTTTCCTCTCATGGAGTGGGCCTTAATTCCAGAGTCCACTAGAAATTAAGACCATGTTTGGTTACTCCCACAACTTTAGTGCCACCATTGCACCAGTATACCATGTAGACATATTAAGTTGTAGATCAATGGGCTTATAGCTGGGTTGGTGGTTACTTTTCTCTTCTAGTAGTATTCAGAGTGCCTGTCAGTATCATGAACACTAACTACCTAGAGATAAAGGCTCGATTTAGGCACAAGCTCAACTTCTTCATGTATAATGAAATATGTAGTTGTCTTCAGCATTCAGGTCTTGCTATCATTTTGTGTAGAGCAACTCATTGCTTTGGTAACAGCCAAAAGTATTTGGAGGTTTCTATGGGGCTCCTTTGTTTAACAACTCATCCAGATGCAACCTAATTCTATAGTACTAGAGGCTTTATTTGGTAATGAAAAATGTGTAGTTGTAGTGTTGTTTCTCCCCCTTTTAGTGACTGCATTTAGATTTATTTTGTATATGCATGCATTTTAAGAAGTTGATATAATAGGTTCCCATAGGACTCTTCAATTTGCCCTAGGATTAGTTGTCCCCACCTATATTCCCTCCTTTATTCATGTCTTTCATTTCCCTCCCCTTTTAATTCTCCCATTCCAATTCCCACCCCATATCTCCATAACTGTATGTTCTAATTCTCTTTTTTTTGGCAGATCTTCCTACATATTAGCCCCTTACTTTATATCTAACATCTGGTTATATGAATTATATCAAAAGCTTAAAAGCTAATAGTCACACATGAGAAAATATATCCAATATTTGTCTTTAGGGATCTAGTTTACTTCACTCAGGATAATTTTTCTATTTCCATACATTTAGCTACAAATTTAATAATTTCATTGCTTTTTAAGAACTGAATAATGTTCCACTGTGTAAATATACCACGTTTTCGTTATCCACACATCTGTTGATGTTGACATCTAGGCTGTTTCGAGTTTCTGACCATTATGACTACACCAGCTTTGAACCTATGTTAAGATATAAACAAGCTTCCCTATAGTAGGAAGTAGAGTCCTTTGGGTATGTGCTTGAGAGTAGGATAGCCAGATCGTGAGTTAGATTTGTTCCCAGCTTCCTGAAGACCCAGCACACTGATTTCCAACATGACTATAAAATTCTGTACTCCTACCAGCAATGGATGCTTATTCTCCATGACTCGTATCCTTGCCAGCATGCAGTATCAACTGTTTTATTGACATTAATCATTCTAACTTTTATAAGTTGTAATCTCAAAGTAGTTTTTTTTTAAATTTACATTTCCATGCTGGCTAAGGTTATTGAATAATTCTTTAAACATCTCTTGAGAATTGTCTGCTTAGTTCTGTGGCCACTTTTAAAACTGGGTTATTTGTTTCCTTGATGTTCAGTCTTTTTAGGTCTCTATAAATTTTAGATACTAAGTTTCATATGTGTAATTAGTAAAATTTTTTCCCATTGTGTAGTCTGCTCCTTTGTCTAACTAAGTCCTTTGTGATTCAGAAACTTTTCAGTTTTATTATTATTATTGTTATTATTATTATATTATTATTGTTATTATTATTATTATTATTGGTGGTGGTAGTGGTGGTGGTGGTAGTGCTTGTGCTACCAGTGTTCTGTTTAGAAAGTCTGTTAGCTGTGCCAACGAGTTCAAGACTATTCCCAACTTTCTCTTCTATCAGCTTTATGTTGAGATTCTTGATCCATTTGGAGTTGAATTTCATGTAGGGAGATAAGATGGATATATTTGCATTCTTCTACATGTAGCCATCCACTTGACCAGTACCATTTGAAAAGATTCCTTCTCTTTTTTTCCAGTGTATATTTCTGACTTCCTTATTTAAAAAATGAAGTGTCCATGGGTGTGTGAACTTATGTCTGGGTCTCCAATTTGATGCCATTGATCAGCATGTCTATTTTATGGTAATATCAAGCTATTTTTGTTATTAAAGTTCTGCAATACAACTTGATATATGGGTCGGTGATACTCCCAGCAATTCTTTCATCAAACAGAATTATTTAGCTATTCTGTGTTGTCTGTGTTTTAATATGAAGCTGAGATTTGTTTTTACATTTTTGTAAAGAATTATGTTAAAATTTTGGTGGAGATTGAGTTGAATCTATAGATTGCTTTGAATAGGATGGTCATTTACATTGTATTAATCCTACCAATATATGAATGTGGGCTCTTTCCACCTTCTGATGTCTTCTTCAGTTTCTTTCTTCAATGTCCTATATAGTCATCATATAAAAATTTTATGTACTTGTTTAAAGCTATCACAGGATAGTTTATTTTTTTATTTTTGAGGTTAATGTAAAAGGTACCATTTCCTTGATTTCTTTATCAATCCATTTGCCATTTGTATATAGAAAACATACTGGATTTTTGTGTTAATTTTGTATCTTACTGCTTTGCTGAAAGTGTTCATCAGCTGTAGAAGTTTCCTTGTGGAACTCTTAGGGTCCTTTTCAAGTAAAGGTACTTGGACATCTTTTTTGATACTATATGTATGTCCTTGGTCTCCTTCTGTTGTTGCTTTTGCTAAGGCTTAAGTATAGTGATATTGAATAAGTACAAAAAGAATGAAAAATCTTTGTCTTGTTCCTGATTTCAGTAGAAACGTTTTGAGTTTTTCTCTTTTATGTTGATGTTGGCTATAGACTTGTGGTAAACAGCCTTTATTGTGTTGCAGTAGGTCCCTTGCATCCCTAGCTTCTCTAGAACTTTCATCATGGAGTGTTGGATTTTGTCAAAGACCTTTTCTGAATCAAATGATATGACCATGGATGTGGTTTTTGTCTTCTAGTTTCTGTATGTGTTTATGTTTATTGATTCTTGTATGTTGAACCATTACTGAATTTGTTGGATAAAGCCTACTTGATCATGATGCAACCCTTTAATACAGATCCTTATACTGTGGAGATCCCGCAACCATAAAATTAATTTCATTGGTACTTCCTAAGTATAATTTTGCTAATGTTACCAAT